AAGCTGAATAAATAATTTTTCCATTGATGTATGGTTTGTTAGGATAGGACAATATTTGGCTGAGATACAACTATTTGAAAATCTGGAATCTGAGGGTGCAAAAAAAATCAAAATATTGAGAAAACTGCCTTTAAAGTTGTCCAAATGAAGTTCTTAGCCATGCATATTACTAATCAAAAATTAAGTTTTGATATATTTACGGTAGGAAATTCACAAAATATCTTCATGGAACATGATCTTTACTTAATATCCTAATGATTTTTGGCATAAAATAAAAATCGATCATTTTGACCCATACAATGTATTGTTGGCTATTGCTACAAATATACCCCAGCGACTTAAGATTGCTTTTGTGCTCCAGGGTCACATATGCAACAGAGCTTTTACTGGGTAAAAAAAGTCTAAACTATCAATCAGGCGACAGAAGTCATGGAGGAGATTGTGTGTGACAGGATTAACAGCAAAGGTTTGATTGTCAATCATTTAGAGGCCTTGCATATCAAATACAGTATGATACAGTAGCTGTATAGGGTTAAAGAATCTTTACGTACAATGAAAGCAGACAGTGATCACATCTGTCGAGCTCCAGAAACGCAGCTCGTCTGGAGTTGACGTTTGATGGTGCCGGCGATGCCAGTCATCCGCATAATCCTCTGTTTCATATTGATGTGGTTTGTTTTTTATTTTCTATTTTTTAGCTCCGTCATTTGTTTGAACATCTCCTGGCAAAGCAGCCGCTGCATCTGTAGCTGTGATTATGAATATGACAGTAATTATTCTCCGCCGGCTGCCATCAGCTCATCAGAAAACATCTCACTAGTGTCTGGCAGAACTGTTTGCTTTTTGAGTGCTTTTTTCTTATTCTTTCGCTTAATTCTTTTTCAGAGAGAATAAATAACAAATACGCTTATGAGTGTCTTTACAAGCAGAAGTCTTAAGAGCTCGACGGGCTGGAAGAGGTGAAAACACTGAGGACGAGACTGATTCCATGCCCAGACTAGATTAATACTATATTATTATTTGGCCAATCACAACGCACTGGATAGCTGGCCAATCGGAGCACACCTCGCTTTTCAGACCGATGAGCTTTGTAAAAATCGACGTGTTTCAGAAAGGCGGGGCATAGAGGAGAAACAATAATGTACAGTATGTGGAAAATAATGTGTTTTTTTAACCTTAAACCGCATAAACACATTTCATTACACCAAATACACAAAATAATGTTATTTTTAGCAACATCATATGACCCCTTTAATTGTCAAGAGAATATTATTTTAAAAAATCTTAATGGTGCTAAAATAAGCTTTCTTCATGCATGTTATTTTATTTATTTTACTGTATTTATTTATTAATTTATTTTGCATTACAATAATATTATAATATTATCATGAAAATGTCAAAATCTTTAATGGTGCTAAAAATGGTGCTTGCTCTCTTCATGCATTTTTTTTTTTTTGCGTTACAGTCATATTAATCACATTAATTGGCAAGAGAATATAAAAAAAAAAAATCTTAATGGTGCTAAAATAAGCTTTCTTTCTTCATGCATGTTATTTTATTTATTTTACTGTATTTATTTATTTATTTTTGTGACATGTGACCTGGACATGTTCTTGACAGGTTTCTGTGAAATTTGTCTTTATATGAATATGTTAATCATTCAGAATCATCTGATGTATGGTATTTTATTGTAAAGGTAACGTGCCCATCTCACAGTTCATGAGAATCCCTCACAGGCGTTCCTCTGTGAGTAATGTCGGTGATTTATCTCCAGTTCGAGTGTTGAGCGTGAATCCAGTTCCAGCCGGTCAGGAGCGCTGTGGTGCGACACACTGAAACCCTGTAAATATGAGTGTTTGTGTTTTAGGTTGGCACTGTGGTGGAAGCCAGGAACCAAGATGGGATCTATCAGGAGGCCACCATCAACAAACTCACCGACGCTAGTTTGTACACCGTCGGTAAGACCATCTCATCTCATCTCATCTCATCCTACACTGCATTTCAGCACTGTACATGTCTTCAGATAGCTGCTTATGTGTCTGTGCCACTTCCATCCTTGTTTTATAGCTTCCTTTAGTTTCTAGCATCATATGTGAGAGCAGCACAGTCAGTCTGAGATGCTGGGTAATTTTCATCTCAGGGCTCAATAATTAAAATGTATATTATTTTATATTAATTATAACTTATTATATTATAATATTGTAATGTTTTATAATTTAATTATTTATTATATTATAATTAATTTTTATATATATAAATTATTTAAAGAATAGGTTATTATATCACGTCTGCTGCCATGGTTGCCCACGTTCACTGCGAGTTTCTCATTAAAGCTGAAGAGCGGTGAAGAGCGGCCAGAGCGAGAGCTGCTCTTTTAAAGCACTGATCTTACGTAACTCTGTCCTGGAGCGTTTGTGCGTCTGATATCTCGTCTCTCTCTCTCTCTCTCTCTCTCTCCTGGGCTCAGTGTTTAATGACGGTGATGAGAAGACCCTCAGGCGCTCGTCTCTCTGCCTGAAAGGAGCGCGACACTTCGCTGAGAGTGAGGCAAGTCCGCTTTCTGCTTTCTCATTGGTTTAGATCGCTAGCAGACTCCTGTACATCACAACACTTTCACATCACATCCTGTTCTGGACGCTAATTATATCATTTCGGATGTATTTCTATTGAAGTTTAACAGACTTTCAGACATACGCTCAGGTGATCTTGAGAACATATGAAAAAAAAAAATAGTGCTGTCAAACGATTAATCGCGATTAATTGTGTGTGTATTTATGTATACATAATAAATATACACAGTGCACACGCATATATTATGTAAACAAAACTTTTATTTTGAATGCGATTAATCGCGATTAATCATTTGACAGCGCTAGTATTTTTATGGTTTTATTTTTATTTTAGCACTGACTGGTAAATCTCATGTCTGTTTCTCTTCCAGACGCTCGACAGGCTTCCTCTGACGAACCCCGAACACTTCGGCACTCCTGTCATCGGCAAAAAAGGAAAGCGTGGAGGCCGACGCTCCAATCCCATGTGAGTGTAATATTTTGCAATCCTGCATGTTTTGCCGTTGAATCACAAAAAGCACAGTGCTGCTGGAAGTTATTGACACGTTACTCTGATAAAGAAACATGCATGAGTGAGGAAATGAAGTGTGGTTATTAAGAGTTATTAAGTGCAATAAGCTATGGCAAAGTATGATTAGTATGAAGTATCTTGCGTAATTACATTATGTGGTAAATATGGTACCCTAATTATGAAAATAACAGCAAATTGTCTACAAAACTCTGGAAATTAGTACTTCAACTTAAACATTAATTTAAAATGTTTATGCTTTTTTCATGCAATATTTATATTGTGTTTTATTTCAACTCTTTCAATTACCATAAAGGATTTTTAATAGTTTAATAGTGCATTTTAATAATAGTTGTAAAATTCCACTTCAATAAGGCCGTTTAGGACACAATTGACACATTGTGAGTCTCATTGATTGCGTTACGCTGATAAAACACTCCTCACCTGAAGGATGAAGCGTCTGTGTGTCTCGCTCCTGATGCTCCAGGGACGCGGCGGGTTCGTCTGGGAATACCGATTACACAGTGTTTGCTGTTGTAAATTACGTCTCTTCTTTTAGCAGTCGCACAAATAGGACAAACGCTGCCCTGGAATTCTCCATCCCCAGACACAAATCAGAGAAAAGCCAATGCTTTTCCTCCAGTGCTTCGTCTCGAACAGGACGCGTCCCACCGGCACAATGACAGATATGACTCTTGTGTAGGGTTGCAAAAAGGTGGAACATTTCCAGTAAATTTCGGAAGTATTCCAGAAATTTTGGAAACTTCTCAGGATTTTTTGGAATATTCCATGGATTTTGGGAAAGTTTCCGGAAATTTACCGGACATTTTCCACCCCTTTGCAACCCTACTCTTATGTGCTCATCATTACTCCGTCAGTCACACATGAACTTTAACAAGGAATCAGAGGCGATCATAATGTTTGGGGTGTCATTGATTAGTCAGCTAGTGGATTAGTTCTTAATCCTTAACAAGCATTTTTGCCTATTTTTCAGTAAAAATATGAAGCTAAATTGACTTGACTTCAGTGTTATTTTAGCATTATCTATACACTTTTATAGTATTTATTAACGTTTTGAATTAGCTTGTATTTTAGTTTTAGTTTGTTTAATAATTGTCATTTTATTATGTTTTATATGTATTTCCATATAGCTTTCTTTTTTTCAGTTTAAGTAATTTTAGCATTTATATATATTATAGTATTTTTTTAATGTTTTAAATGAGAATTTATTTGTGTATTTTCATATTAATTTTAGTTTAAGTTGTACTCATTTTGTTATTTGCTTTTGTCATTTTTATAAAATTTTCATAGAGCTTTCATTTATTTATTTTAGTTTTCGTAATTGTAGTACTTCAACTTCAACTTATTTAAAATGTTGAAGCTTTTCATGCAGTATTTATATTTTATTTCAACTTTATTTCAATTACCGTGAATGGTTTTAATAGTTTTAATTTTAAAAGTAGTTTTAGAATCTAATAATAGTTGTAATTATTTGAACAACACTGCTTGAAACAAAAATTCCAACTGTATAATTACATAAACTTTTATATTTCCTATTTAATTAGCAAATCTTTTGCTACTTTATCAGTTTCTTAATATTTCCATATAGTGTTTTTTCCCCCATTATTTTAGTATTTATATAGTATTATAGTATTTATTTAGGATTTTAATTGCTTTTATTCATTTTAATTTTAGTTTAAGTTTTAGTAATTTTATGTGCTTTTGTCATTTTTTAAATAATTCCATATAGCTTCAATTTTAGTACTTAAACATACTTAATTTCAAATGTTAATTAAAATTTTTCAAAAATATTTATATTTTATTGTATTTCAACTTTTTTTTAAATTACCACAAATTATTTTAAATGGTTTGATTTTTATAATAGTTTAAAGGTTGTTGTTGTTTTTTATAGTTTCATAATATTTTTATAATATAATCATAGTTTTTTTTTTTTTTTTGCCATTGCTGGAAGCAAAATTGCAAAATGTAAAAGTTGCATAAAGTTTATTTTTCCTACTGAATTAGCACTTTTTTTTTTGGTTAATAATAATTAAAAAAAACTATTTTAAGAAAAGCTATGACAGATAGTGATCTTTTCCACACAGGTGTTCAGAAGCAGTAGTTGCTGTGGCAGGTTTTCTTGGATTTGTTTGGTTGTTTGAGTGAGCAGGAGTCCCTGTGGTTTATCAGGTCATGTTTATTCGTGATGCAGGCTGTTGATTGGCTCATTTAACGCTAACAAGATTGGCTCTCCTTGGCGGTGAGCTGGAGTGTCGGTTGTTAATTGAGAGCGGCCGTCGAGTCACGCTCCATATCCAGTATTGGCAAGTGAGAAGCTCGTCAGCTCACAGAGCCTAATTACTTATTATCTTTATCAGGACTCGCGAGCAAAAGAAAAGCAGAGTCTTCTATTGTGCCGCTGGGATACAGGTGATGCTTATCTTTCTGTGAGTGGATCGGCTGAATCATGTTTAGCTTTATCTGGCTCTCCGTTAGAGTCCATAACTAAACGATTAGCATGTTCTCTTCCGTTAGCAGTTCTTCACTGTCTAAACGCCAAATTAAGATGCACTTGTGTGTTTGCAGTCTGAATTGAATTTGTTGAAAGCGAGAAACTCTGGTCGACTTAAATGACGATGAAATTTGTTCATGGCTATTTCCATGATTTATTTTTATTGTTTGTTTGTTTATAGTCATGGCAACCCCACTAGCACTGAAAAGCAGAATCTGAAACAGAATTGTTGATTGGTTAAAATAATTCACTTTTTAAAAATGCTTAGAACTTTTAATTACAGTTAATATTGTTTTAAAATTAAAATTTTTATTTTAAATTGCCTTAAAATTAATTATATGCTGAGTCAGTTTTAAAAATTATTGTACTATTGAAAGAAAAAAAATGTAATAGTTAATAAGAAAGTTGTGCTTAATTGTCATGCAAATAATATCATAATAGTCTTTAATTTTTAATTTATCTAAAAATATATGTAATTTTCTGTATGCAAAATAGAGCCCGACCGATATGGGTTTTTTGGGGATGATACCGATATTAGGGAGTAAAAAAAGGCCGATATTTTTTGTGTATATTATAGTACAGTACTAGTCAAAAGTTTGGACACTTTCCCATTCGTGTGTCCAAACATTTGACTGGTACTATATATAGAATACACTTCGGAACATTCATTCACGGATTTGCGCTACGGTCTTCACACACTGACAAAACTTACTAGAGAAGTGTGAAGTGTGACATAATATACAATATAAATTCACGTCTCGCGCACTTTAATGCCCTTTGAATGTAACGTGTACGTTCCCTTGGAACTGGAATCATGGTGGAATTTCATGTGAAATGAAATTTCACGCGTCGGTAGCCCCCCGGGATCGCTTGATTGGTCGGTGCCGGACCGCGAATTTAACCACCCGTAACTCCCGAACCCCGGGGGCTATCGACATGGGGGTGGTCTCATTCGAAAGAGGGCCTCGAGACGTACACTCGATTCACGTTCGAGAGGGTTCCTCGAGCTGAAGGGATCCCCCGAATTTGGTGCGGATTCGCCGCGCCGTTACGGAGATATGGCCGTTCAAAGTTTCAATGGTTTTCCATAGACTT